TGCTCCTTTGGTGAACTTCTGATGTTTGTGAAAAGAAGGAGGAAAACACAGGCCAGAAGCAGACAAAATGTAGGACAGATGCTATGGAAACTTCTGTATTACATCTCAGCAAATTATTCCAGCCCAAATCTGAACTCTTGTGGTCTAAGCTTAAACAATGATTATCAAACTTGTCACTCAGTAATGACTGTATAATGAGGATAAAATTTACCTAATTGTAGTACAAGGATGGAACAAGGAAATTAATGAAAATAAGTGAATAATCAAGGAAAGCCAGATCATTCATCTTCCTGCCGGTAAAGGACTGTTTTCTGTAACCATTTCCAGAGTTCAGCTGGCTTAGATTTAAATGTCAAAAGCAATGGACCTTTCACAAATCTCCCTTAGAACACTAGCTGTACTTAAAACAAAGATTTATTCATGGTGAAAGGTGATGGCAGAGCTGCCCCACTAACACTCCCCAGCGCAGTACGCAGAGACTGGGTCTTCTGACATTGTACTGGCCGCTCCTGTGACTGCTCAGCCTCCTCCAGAAGTCTTTGAGTTTACAGTCTGAAGGCCAAATCCTAACAAAGATATTCATTGTGAATACTACCTTAATTACCTAAATTATCTGTTTGGGTCATCTTGTCTCCGTTACTCCTAGGGAGTGGTATCTCACTGTTTGACCCAGCTGAACAAGGTAACATTCAGTGTAAATATTAGACCATCAGCATCTGGCTTTAAACCAACAAGCAGGTTTGGTTTAGATCTTCCTAGATGTGTTGAAAGAGGCATGATGTAAATCTGCATGCAGCTTAAGCCCCCCAAAAGTCTCCCAGGTTCCTGTGTAAGGGCCAGCAGCTTTGAAACTTAGCAGCTTACACAGTGGAGATGGCAGAGTGCGGGGGAAAACAGCATGACAGAGGCTCCCTTAATGGATTCCTCCTGAATTAGGAACGACTTTTGTTTCTTTAAGAACAATTATTTTTCCTGGATTCTCACAAAAGTTACACCTATATGCAACACTTGCCAACAGTTAATTCTTCAACTTTTCCAGATATATTTTAGATAGAGGTGACCTTGTTTCATCAAGCAGCAGCTCTGAGGAGTCATTTGGAGAACCCTGAATGTCCAGTGGGGAGAGATACCCAGTACGTGGTCCTGGCACAGGCACTGGGAGGCTGCAGAGGGGCTGCTGGAGCACCTAGCACATCATGAGGTTTAGCTCTAAGTGGTTCCTCTCCAGCGCACGGGCTTCCTGGCTTGCCCCCTTCGCTCTCTGGTACAATAGAGGAAGCTGTGACAACTCACTTAGATGCCCTAAATAATGTCAGCAGTAACAGAAACCTTTTTGGCTGTTATAATAGCTAAGATGGGCCCCTCCAAAGAGATGCTTTGAAACTGTCCCAGAAAGGATTTCCAGTTTGCTGCCATGTTCGTAAGACTAGGCTTGCCTCCCTGCAGCAGCCAACAGCATTAGCAGTATTTCTATACAGTCACTGAGGTGAGGGAAGATCCGTGATAATTCACTTTGTCAAGGGTATGATTTCATAATACTTCTTTTTGCCTAATACCTGTCAAATATCTTCAATTTTTTACTTGAGTGAAATGCTGCTCCTGGAAGTAACACGTTGTTTTGAGACTATGTAAGGATAGGATAAAATTACAGATGTAAAGTTGCACAGTAGTTCCTGCTTAAATATGGTTATCAGCTGGGTCCTGCTCAGTGAAATTTGAAGAAATGGCAATCTAGAAAAATATTACATTTCAGAAGCTATTCTGAGTAATTCATTGCCACTGTATTCTGAGCTCATTGCATGCACAGGGAGAGTCTGTAGTCTAATATGAAGACTTGAAGTTAAGCAAGCAAGGAACAATGGGCCGAGATACCACGTCAGAGTTGCTGAGAAAACCTCTGAATAGAACAAAACAATCATTCGTAAATAATATTAGAAGGACATGAGTGATGTAAAAAAAAATCCCATTCAAGGGAGTTTTGCAAGGAAGGTGGGCAGAGAGGGCAAATCTATAATGAGGGTACAGAAACGCACTGGTGTGTTTATTAAGAGCTGTCTTAGTGATGATGTTACCTAGATCACTATCCCAAAATGAGAAGTAGTACGAACAGTATTTCAGACATGTATATAGACTTGTTTTTAATTCTTCAAAATTTTGCTTCCCCAGCTGAAAAAAATGTTATTTTTAAGTTAAGAACGCTGGGCTAATATTATGTACCACTGATTAGACTCCCGACAAGGAAAAAAAGGTTGCCAAATTTAGATTTGATGAGAAAGCACAGGAAATATATATGGGACCGGTCCAAGGGTGGAAACTCAGGGACCACAATGAATTCATAAATTGAACAGAAGTATCATTTGTCTTCTACCACTCAGAACAGGCAGATGCCGTATGCCTTTGGAAAAAAAGAGCTTTTTTTTTTTTTTAAGGGGCACCATTCTATGAATTGCTTTCAGCAGAGTTTCTTCCGCTTCTAACAGAGTTGGCAGCATACACAAGTTGCATTTTATCTGTCTTCCCTTTACTTGTTTACTGTGCAGTGTACTTGGAGATTTGTCTCTGCTTATTAATTAGAATGAAACAATTATCACTTAAATGCGTGTAACAACTATTTAAGATGAGATTTGGACATCGCATTTGCTTGTGGTGACTGCGTGCAAGGGCTGGTGCTCCCCAGCCGGGAGAAGGTGACAGCCTTTCCTCCTTTCTATACATAAAATAGGAGATTTGCAGTCAGGAACAAGTACA